AATTACTGATAACCAGAGTATGGCTATGCAAACGTGGGGACAAACAATGCAAAATGTTTGGTGCATGCATTTTAGCATGTATAAATGAAGAACTATTGAAATTTCTGTATATGTGGAATCAAACACTTGTATACTCTTACAACATCAAGCTCACTTCTAATTTGTTTTTAAAAATTTAACACCAGATTTTTGAAGAATGATACTGATGCCCTGGACAACAAAAGTGATACTCACCAGCATTCCCTGTCACCATATACTGTTTTGATTTTGGGTAAAGGAAGAAGTAAATTCCATCAGCAGTCAGAATGTCACACCCTCCCTGGTTTATAAGAGCTGCAAGAAACACTCCATCTGTACCATTTACATCTCCGAGCTTGGCTTCGACTTCTATGTAGATGGTAGTCCTATATATGGCCATGATGAAAATGATAAATTTAATGCTGACAAAATAACATTCCATAAAATGATCTGCAACTACAAATGCAGCTTGTTGGACAACAACTGATATATGCATGTAATATAGCATAAGTCAATGACAGTGACATGATAATGCTAAAGAAGGAAAACAAGTCTGCTAATATGCCCACAGCATGCTGTAAATTCCTGATGCTCTTAGGGTACTTTGCAACTAATAACGGCCAACTTGGATATAGTTTGCATATTGAATTCTGTCATATCCTACAATTTTGTGGTGGTTTCATCATTCTAAAACTGGACATGGATCTGTGGAAGATGACCCATGTTCTGTAAGGACATTGCCTGTAATAGGTGAGTCAGAAATGGCTGCTGTGAAGGGGGAAATTTATGATGCTGCTGATGATGCTCTATACACTGACACTTCAATATGATTGTCCCAAGTGATGAAAAAGTGTTTAACTTTTCTGAACCTCTATACAGCCCTGATTTAGCTCATCCTCTATACTGCCCTGATTTAGCTCCACATCCTCTATACAGCAATGATTTAGCTCCACATCCTCTATACAGCCCCAATTTAACTCCTTATCCTCTATACAGCCCTTATATAGCTCCTCATCCTCTATACAGCCCTGACTTAGCTCCCCATCCTCTATACAGCCCTGACTTAGCTCCTCATCCTCTATACAGCCCAGATTTAGCTCCACATCCTCTATACAGCCCTGATTTAGCTCCTCATCCTCTATACAGCCCTGATTTAGCTCCTCATCCTCTATACAGCCCTGATTTAGCTCCTTATCCTCTATACAGCCCTGATTTAGCTCTTCATCCTCTATACAGCTCCGATTTAGCTCCTTATCCTCTATACAGTCCTGATTTAGCTCCACATCCTCTATACAGCCCTGATTTAGCTCCATATTCTCTATACAGCCCTGATTTAGCTCCTTATCCTCTATACAGCCCTGATTTAGCTCCTCATCCTCTATACAGCCCTGATTTAGCTCCTCATCCTCTATACAGCCCTGACTTAGCTCCTCATCCTCTATACAGCCCTGATTTAGCTCCTCATCCTCTATACAGCCCTGATTTAGCTCCTCATCCTCTATACAGCCCAGATTTAGCTCCTCATCCTCTATACAGCCCTGATTAACTCCAAGTCATTTTGGGATAAATTCTGTTATCATCATGTCACTGAGGGGTAGATGATTTGAAAGCAGTTGAATGTGCAGTTTTCAAGCGTATGAACAACATACCAAAAGGTGAATACAAAAAGGCACTTAATAACTGGATAACAAGACAAAAAACAATGTGCAGATTTGCATATTGGTACTTTGAGAGGATGAAATTAAATACTAATGAAATAGCCTGTTGTATATTTCACTAATATTCAGAACCTTTTAAATAGCTCTTATATGCATACAAACATTTTAACAAAATTTAATTTGTCAGGTTGATTTGTTGTTGCACAATCTTCCTTAAAGAAAGAAAGAAAGAAAGAAAGAAAGAAAGAAAGAAAGAAAGAAAGAAAGAAAGAAAGAAAGAAAGAAAGAAAGGAAGGAAGGGAGGAAGGAAGGAAGGAAGGAAGGAAGGAAGGAAGGAAGGAAGGAAGGAAGGAAGGAAGGAAGGAAGGAAGGAAGGAAGGAAGGAAGGAAGGAAGGAAGGATGGATGGATGGATGGATGGATGGATGGATGGATGGATGGATGGAGAGATGAATGTACACATAAATAGGATGGACTGACAGAACCAAACCAATGTGTTCCCATTTCAGTGATGGCATAAAAAGCATTGGGAAAACTTTATATCATACATGTAAAATCATAAGTAGTGAGCACAAGAGGAAAATGCAAGCAAAACACATTAATATTCTCAAATAAAGAACCAGCTCTAAATGTGGCAATTTGTTTAATATTTGCTATTTTTGCTGTATGTTCATTACTCAGTGTGACAAGTAGTTCAGTTCTTAATAATATACAATACAATTGCTACTGGACAATAACAATAAACAAGAATGGCCTGATATTGTTTATCTGGCTTATATAACATAACAGTTATCCATTTCAAATAAACAGTACAAACCTATTATGTAAATTGCCAAACTTTATATCAAAGTAAATATTGCCTGTTTTATAATAGCCTTATATCATTATTTCCAAAATAAAGATTTAATTAACTTGCAGTCTCTTGCTCATAATGAAACTAATTTAGGATCTTGATAATACAAAACTTTTTACTAGAGTTTCTGCCTCCTCACCCCATTTGATTTCAAAGGTAATAGAAGTTTTCAATTCTCACTGCAATTTTTTGGCTGCCGGAAGAGTTCATTTTAAGTGAAGGGGTGGATGCAAGGCCAACACATATGCAGAAAGTGAATACTTGTCATCTGCATTCAATGTATCCAATATCTAATTCTACTATCTCCTGTCAAAATTAAAACAAGGGGGAAAATATGTGCCCTAAAATCTCAACATTAAGGAAATTTATGGAAGTATCTGGAGTGTATGGAATACTATTAACTACATCAATCCTGTTGTATGACAACAAATACTCACCCATGTAAATATGTTAGTGTTAAATTTCCATTAGGTTTGAATTGGGTAGGTGAAAATGTTAGCGACTGTTTAGTGGCAATAGAGTTAGAAATTATAAATTAATGTATGAAATGAGCAAGTTTTGTTTATTTATTATATCCTTGTGCTTTTTGTTTAAAAATCAGTAGGTTGGTACAAGCCGGGGATGGGTAGGTGAAAACCATAAGTTTTATTGACAATGGATGAGATATAGGTCATCTAGATGAACAAGCTCAAACAATAAAATCACATAACTAATATCTACAGACCTGCTCCAGTGCTGATACATTTGGAGTAAAGTGCATTGCCCAAGGACACACCATGGTTGCTGACCAAGTTTAATTTGATAGTAAATTTTAACATCCACCTGTTTGGTTATGAGTTTGGCATGATAGCCAGTCAGTTACCAAGGCTTCATTTAGGGACATCAACAAACATGTGCTAAAAGATGATGAAGCAACAAGCTAGGCTAAACTGCAAGATCACCGCCAAAATATGTGTTAGATTACGCCCACATTAAAACTCTTTAGATTTCTGGATGATAAAAACCAATTTACCAAGTCTGATAACACTCATGTGGACCTCCCTCAGAAGTGTATATAATCAATATCTTAATGAGATAAGTCTAGGGGACCTGGTGTGGTAGAGTGGTCTAAAGTTCTTGCCTTTAGCAATAAAAAAAGTTACATCACTCTGTTCATGTGGTTCGAATCTTGGGACCAGTATATGCAGGCATGTGAAAAAAGGTTGCCATGTGGCATCCTGTGGGTTGGTGGTTCTTCCATGGATCATGTAAATTATCAAACTTCTCAGTGATCTTGATGATGTAAGCCCATATTATAAGTCTGATCTAAACTGGATCAGAAAAATGGGCTGAAGTGTGGTAACAAGCAATGGCTGGATGCTAGGCAATGACATAGTTGGTTTGGTCTTAGAGACAAGTGAGCTAAAAATGAATCTGTAAATTGAAATCTACAGGTTTCAAAGATTTGAGTTTTTTAAAATAATTAAGCAATACAAAAAATTTCCCTTTTTAAATTATAACAGAAATTACCTAATATACATTTGACATTGATAACTTCTGTCAATCTCTACATTATTTAAGTTAAAGACATGAATTCAGAACCCTGACCCAATATACAGCTTTAGTATTTTTATAATAAACTTTTATTTTCCTTTTTTCATAACAGTAAGAAACATGATGCATATCATTCTTCTTTGCATTTTCCATCAAAAACTGAAACATTTATATCTAATTCTTTGCCATTTAAAATAAGATTGCATTTTACCAAATATGAGACAGAATGTTTGTGAAACAGTCGCTGAAAAGTAAAAAAAAATTGTCTTGCCTAAAAAGTAGAACAATGAATTTGTTTGCAAGATGAGATACACTACTCAAAACTGTTCAAGGAGACAAAATATTGTGCAGAAAATATGAAAAAACATAAGCTATCACTAGAACATACCAAGACACATTTCCCAGGAGGCTAAGAGTCAAGTTGAGTTTTTCTGCAGCACACCAGTAGATAGGCATTTGCTGCACCATTTGTCTCATCACCTTTCCATGAGCCTTTGAGTCAGTCTGGATCACCTCAAAGGCACCAGTCTGCTGAGCAAGGTTGTAAGGTTCAGCATGTTCAGCATAACCTGACAGAGAACCAGCCTATTTTAGAGTCTGTGAGAGAGTTCCTAAAGGAGACAAAACTTTGTTTGCCATATATTTATGTCTGTTTCAAGAATCTCTTAAAACAAAAAAGACAATTCAGCTATATTCTAAAGTGTATCTCCTTAATATATATCTGTTAATTCATCAATTAACTTTTGCTCTAATTAACATAATTCATATGCTACAGCTATCTAACTCTAAAACATAATATTTCAACACAAAATGAGAAATTTACAGAAGAAAACTGGCCTGTATTTTAAGAGATTTTTCTCACTAGTACCTGGCATTTCTGAAATGTGTAACAAAGTTGACTACAGCCTCCTAACTAAAATGACACGATGTTTCAGAACCGCTCCAGTGGCCTAGTGGTTAGACTGTCCACCTTAGATGCGGGAGGTCATGGGTTCAATGCCCCGTCGAGTCATACCAAAGACTTACAAAAATGGTACTAAAAGCTGCCTTGCTTGATGCTCAGCATTAAGAGGTTAGTGTTAGGACTGGTTGGTCTGGAGTCAGGATGTGACTGGGTGAGACATCATGCTACATGTCTGCAGCATGATGCCCCAGTGCTAGACATCATTATACACTACCACACTGCAGACATTGTTGCAATATGACTGAAAAATCGTTAAAGCTACATTAAAAATCATAATCACATCTCATCACATGTTTTAGTGGTTGCAACCAAACATCAGTCATTATATTTGCAGAGTTTTTAATTTTACAAACTACTAATGAGCAATCTTACCATCAAAATGTTCCCAATAAGGAAGAGGAAACTCTCTCTGGGGTGGTGGCTGAGGGTGGGTCCCCTTGTTTCCAGTGGATACAGTTGTCAGTGTGTATACCACATCTAAATCCAGGTACAGATTGATAGTCCCATCAACAACCTACACAGGAAGGACAAGAAAGTACAAATACAAACAGTGGTGAGATCAAGCAAAAAGTCCACTTGATTTTTCTATGAGCAATAAAGTGACCAAGTAGTATGATACTTTTAAATGACAAGTGGTAAAGTAACAAATCTCATAAATTATAAAGAATCTTTTTTTTCTTTCTTTATTATAAGCATCTTTTACAATTCTTCCGACATAATGAAAAATATATTTATGCAGGTCTTGTGCCATCTGCATATTTGTCTTCAATTCAGTACCAAAGCACAATGTCCCCACAACACCACATGCTTGTGAGGTATTTTTCAATTATCTATGTGAGATTATTTGAAAACCATTTGATGCTGACAGAGAACCAGCTGCCAGTTGAAACTCTTTTTATCTGCAATCTCTGAATTAAAAAATAAACAAGAGGTCAAAGTGGTCTGTTACTGCTCAAGTGGCTGACATTTGAGAGCAGCTGGCAAAATAAAATTACACCTGTAGGATACTTTATGTATAAACGTGTTATGAAAACAAGTTTCAAGGTTTTTTTATAAAGGAAATTCTGTTATACCACATCATTTTTATAACACTAATTTTGAATATAATACACCTGTCGCATGACTCCCAATGTTTATTTTAAAGATCCAAGATACCATATCACAACCAGACTTTCATCCTTGAAAAGTAGGTCTTTGTGATAGCAGTAATGGAAATACAATGATGTGTCATCGAAAAAGCACCAAGAATGTGTTGCAGGAATTGGTCAGATGCACCGGCTAATGTAAAACTCTGGTGGTAGAGTAACTGTCTTTGGACCCCCAGTTCAGCTAGATATTTTACCCTGTGTCAGCTGTTACACAGTACATAAACTTTCTCTATGATGAATGCTACGATAAAAGTAACATCTAAATACTATATCTTCATAAGAACAAATGTAATATTTTAAAAGGAATACAATTTACTGAAAATATATTTCACAGCTTCAGTTATAAAAATCTATGAATATTAAAATTGTATGATCTACAATATGGTACTATGACTAATATTAATGACTGTTACATATATAGACCATAGAAATTAATGTATGCATATACCAAATTCAAGAAAATTAAGATATTAAATAAAAATGCTGATGTAGATTTCTGTGTAAATAAGGCAGTGCAATAATTCTACTAATTTCTACATATCCTAAAGTTAGTGTCTTTACAGCATTACTCAACTGGAAAAAGGGAAATATGATGAGGTGGGTTTAAGACATAATTACCTTAATTGGATCCTTTCTCTGAAATAACACTGACAGCTTTCCATCAAACAACAGCTGACTGTACCAGACATGCATTTCTGTTATCTTACTCTGCAAGAATAAAACAATGATGCATTTAGAAGTGAAAATTACAACTTACTCAATGAATAAATTGCATAATGTATTTAAAGTTTTATGTCTGCTAAATGTCAAAACTAACCATTGACCATTAGTGGAATTCAAGAACATCATCATCTGATGACCACAGATCACTCCAATTTCGAATGAGGCAGCTTTATATTTAAATTTATTTTAAGAGCAAATTGATAAGCATGTAAGCTTTCTCTTCTCAAAACTATTCTTATCTAAGGTGTGTAATCCTAAGTTATGTTTTTATTTGATAAGCATTCAGATACCTAAGAATACCAGTTTTTCTCTATACTATCAGATATTGAAATAATCTGAAATGTATATGAAATGAATGACACACATTTGAATAAGAAAAGATTTATTTTCCCAACTATAATGATGTCTCTACATCCCAGTAACACAGGACTAAACATCCTCAGCAACCTTCACCATAAACCTCTTCAACACCCTATTCTTCAGCTAAAAGTGACAAACCTTAGAACAATACAGGTATGGAAAACAAAGATATTACCCTTTTATAAAACTATTAACATTCAAAGTTAAAGATATCACCCTGCAACATTGATCTTTGACCTCATCTCCATCCCATGTACACTAGTCTGGTAAATCTTGTTAAAAGTTTATTATCTTTCCAGCAAAACTTTATGAAAGCCCATCACCCACCCACCCCCCAAGTGAGGAAACTGATCATGATAACCTTGACCTTATAACTCCATATCAGTAGCAATACAGTCGAATGCGGTTATGTCGCCAGCCTAGGGGTTTGCCAAAAATCATCGAGATAACCGATGATCAAGATAAACAAAAATGAAAACCAATATGGCGTCAATATAATAACATGTGCTTGAAATTTCATTATGTACATGATGTGCGTTAATAAATTAGAATGTACATGCACATATTTTTGGATGTTTTTTTTTACACAACAGCATTGCCACGATTTTTTGATGAAGCAATCTGCATACAATAAAATATACATACATGTTTGTTAACAACAAAAGGCTATGTGCACCAAGTAACAACAGAGATTTACCAGTATACAATACAAACCACCATCGATTCTCAATACAAACCTTTATTATATTCTCCAACATTGCAAACACAAAGATCTCACAAAATCACAAAAAAAACATGCAGGGTGTAGTTCGTTTTCACAAAATGCTAACCAGTGTCAAAATTAAATTCGCAAGTCATTTAACCCTCACAAGCGGCCACATTTTTTTTAAATATGTATCCAGAACCAATTTTATTCATAGAGTGTGTTAAGTAATCCGATTTCTGTATCCTGATGTCAGGTTTTCGTTCTTGACTAAAGTACATGTGCCACTAAGGTTAATATTATATCATTTACATCTCAGGAGAAGCCACATTCATTCCATAAAGTTGAAAAAGACTCAAATTTTAATCCATACAGAAAAGGTAAGTATGCATAATCCGATTATCCTTACTTCGTTTTATTATGTCTGGTTTAGCTGCTGATAATTGTTAAGATTACACTTATTAATAGTAGTAACATCAGAGAAGTGGCATTATTGATGGTTTGATAGCCTTCATGGCTTCCCTTTGTAAGACATTGAGCTTGTTCACTTCCATAATTAGTGAGTATTACTATTAACAATAATTGTCAAGTTTACAAATCCTAATGGCCGTGAGGTGCTATTGTTCAGGTCAAATCTGAGTATGTATCTTCTCTCACTTTGTGTCAATAAATGTAAAAAATTATGGTACCAGACTGCAATTCATGAATTATTCGACAATCATTGCCTTTAAAAATAACATGGCATCTTGTTTAAATACAGAAAATAAATTGTTTTATCAGTCAATGTTTTATCAATGTTGCAACATTGATGATTATAACAGGACAAAATTTTCAAGATCACAAGGTCAGCATTGGCTAAAAATAGAACAAGGCAGGGTACCAGACAAAGACCGAAAATTCATGACAACACACTTCTTGCTTCCTTACGAAGGCATTTTGTCTGCTCAACACATGTTTTGTCTGCATAATTAAATAGCATACAGTTAACAACATCCAAATAAATCATTACCAAACATGAACATGTCATCAAGTAAATGGAAACGATTATTTCAGAAAAAGTCTGTTATTTTAGTCTATGACAAGGGAAAGGGGCTTGTCAAACAATTTTAGGTAGAAAAGACACGAATAAAAAAAAATTTATGTTGAAAAGACTTGAATAAACAACATCCTAACTAATAAGGAATTTGTCACCAATAAGGGGAAAAAAAATCGCCGGCAATTGGTCATGGGGATCGAGATAACCGAAGTCAATTGGCAAATATGGCCCTCTTTTGTGCTTGAGAAATTAGGGTTCGACGACATAAAAGAAGACATAACCAAGGAGAAAATGCTAAGACAGAGAGAATTTGATGGTTCCACTTCAAAAATGTCAACTTAATAGGGTTCGACTGTAGTTATATCCCACCATACAAATCTTTAGCTTGATGACAATTCATTTCTGGCAATAATACTGATACATATAAAAACTTAGATCACTGACTACAATCTAAACTTTTCCATGTGACCTTGCCTTTCAATGAACATTCCCCTTCCCTCTGGTGATGATTTACTTATGACAGTTACAAAACTATAACCAAACATTGATACTAATTTGACAAATTGAGGACATTTTGACTGATAGGCCCCACATTTTGTGATAATCACAATAAGTAAGACAAAATACTCACAAAAATGACTTGGAAATTCAAGCCAAGACAACTAGAACTAGCCCAGTTTGTTACTGGGAACATTCATGCAAGCATACATATTTGACACAATCAACTACCAAATTCACAAGTGCTTTAATAAAATGGTTCTACAGAGACACAAAAACATATTCAAATAAAATATTAAAACTAGTTGCACATATAAACATTAGTTACTCATACTTACCAGACTTCCTTTTAGCTGCAGGGTGACATTCTGTGGAGATACTGTGTATGGAGGCAGGAATGGTCGGATGCATTTGGAGTGGTCATGACTCTAAAAATCCATTATAAAATCTACTGTTTATGTATGCATATGCTTTAAAATTTCCACTAGTTCCATTTTGTTTCTAACATGTATCCTTTATCTTGTGTTAACACATACACACAAATATACATGATTTTGTTCTAAGCTGGCAGAACAAACTA